TAGTAGTTTAGAAGTTTTGATATTTTTTTGTAAAATTTAAAAGAACAATTAAATAAATGTTACTACACCCAAAATCATTTTTTTCAGTGTGGAAGCTGGAGGGGACGGGGTGTGCAGCCCCTTGTTTGGATTTTAAGAGACAGCGTCAAAATGAGTTGATCACAGCTCAGAGAAAGTTTGAAAGAGGGGCTTGTGGAGTTACAATAAGAAGGAATTCAAACCAAAGTGTTGCAGTTACACTTTATATAGGCCACAACTAAATGATTTAAATGTGAAACAAAAAAAGGATTTAAAAGCATGATACGTCTCCTTTAAATAAAAAGGTTCAGTTGACAAGGTTTGGGCATCTCATAAGGATRCTGTTCAGACATCTTCCATAGGAAGTGTTTGAACTTGTCTTTAGGAGGAGGCCTTAGGACAGGCTAAGGACTTGGCAGGAAAAGTATATCTTTAGTCTGGCTTGGGAACGCCCAGAGGTCTTAGCAGAAGAGGCAGCTGTCATAAGGGAGCTCTCTGCTCCGATTCTTACCCCCACAGCATGGTTTTAGATATGAAGCAGAAAATGCTGYTTATCCAGCAAATATAAAGATTACTGCAAAGCCTTTTCCATCAAATAAGCACAAACCGGTGGTTATGGATACAAATCTAACTACACAACCCAACAAAGAAATTCAAATAGCTGAGCTATTACTGATTAACAATATGTACTGATACTGCAGTACTGATACTGATGTACTTTGATGTGCAGATCGTCACACTAATAAACTACTTTCTTCGCTGCCACTGCTGTGTGTTTTCAGCACTGCTAAAATACTATCTTCTCCTGCATAATTTTCCTTCACAAGGACCTTTTTAAAGCCTGAAAAGCAAGGAGGTGCCGAAGTCGAACATTTTTCCTAGACCACTTTAATTACAATGCGTTGAAAGGTTGCGGAATTTGTGCCCATTGATGCCATAAAATTATTGCCTGCCTCAGCTTTAAGCAGAAATATTTGTTGAATTTATTYTGCTGCCGACCCCTCTTTGAAAGCGCAACAAAAGAGAAATCCTTTTATTTCCAGGTTGGGTACGCTTTCGTTAAATCTAATGTATTTTCGGAATGAAATGCTGTACAGATCTGGGAGGATTGTAACATTTCAAATTGAATTAGTTTTAATAAGAGTTCGACATGATGCAGCTGTTCAGTGAATAAATGTCATGTGTCAGTTCCTCCAGCTTGAACATGTGTGTGTGTGTGTGTGTGTGTGTGTTTGTGTGTGTAGGTGCCCTATGTTTTTGGCGTGCCCATGGTGGGTCCCACTGATCTGTTCAACTGTAACTTCTCCAAGAACGACGTGATGCTGAGCGCAGTGGTCATGACTTACTGGACCAACTTTGCCAAAACTGGGTAAGCTGCTAAACCTTTTGTTGCTCATCCAGAGACGAGTTGGAAAGAAAGCTAAACTGATATTTTTTATTCTTTAAAGCACCTAAAGTGAGATTGATTGTTTTTTGCTGTGTTTTTAATTAATGCCATCATAGACACAATGAATTTGTTGGCTCACTCGTGACTTTATAGAAACCAATTGCTTTCAAGCCGAAATAACTCAGCAGAGACTGAAATCTTAGAATTTTTTTTTAGATGAACAGCTTCTCTTTGGATTGATTTACTTTCCATATATTTTATTATTGTTGGACTGAATAACAATAAAGAACTTAAAACCTTCACATCATATATTTATATGCATATTTATTAGCTAAATGCTGTGTGGGAAAATGTATTTTGGTAACCTTTTTTCAAAACCAAGGACATTTTTGTAGCATAGATCCCAACTTTTTGTATTTTTGAAGCAATTTAGTCCTGTTTAGAGTCAGGGGCTTGGGTGAGWCAGTTATACTCACACCTAAGATCAATTTAGAGTTGCCAACTAAGCTGAAATGCATGTTTTTGGTCTGTGGGAGAAAACCGCAGACGCACAGGAAGAACATGCAAGCTCTACACAGAAAACCTCAGGCTTAATGAGATTAGTAGTGAACTTCAACCTGCGAGGCAGCAGTATAAATATTAGATTTTATGGATTGAGCATTTCTACTAAAATAAGTGGAGTTTTATTGAAGCATTAGAGAAAAACAACATTGAAAAATCCCAGCAAATAAAGAAYGTTATTTTTCGTCCTTCAAAAAGCTTTCTCTTGATGAAAAAATATTTTAAATACAGTCATAAAATCAGAACTGTGGACACGTTTGGCAGAAGCACACAGATTCTGACAACTCTTTTCTTTTTTTATACAGTTTTTTTACTCTAATCCAGAGTGAGAGTTTACTCAAAATGATAAATTAAACAGAATTGCCGCAAGCTAAGATATTCAATATATTAAATTGAAAATGAAATACCTGCTAGTGGCTAAAAAAATATTGTTACAGTGAAAAAAAATCCACGTTAAAACTTTACAAACCTGACAGCACACACCGATAAGAGCTCTTTTTTATCTCCCCACTGACTTGAAATACAAGATAAAAGTAATTGTTGAAGGTGGACCTCCATTCTGCAGAGCTAGAAGTGAGTAATTACCAATAATTAATCCAACTGAGGTTCACTCCCCCGAGACCTTCTCAGACTTATAGAGACATCCGCAGTCTAGACCTTGATCTAAATATTCACCACGCTGTCTGACAATGTAAGAATCAGGACGGTGCAGTGGCATATTTTGATGTGAGGAAAGCTGTCTTTAATGTGGATGCATTACAGCAGTAACATCACATTAAGTCTGCAGTTTCTAGCACAGCCTGTATTGTCATTACAACCTCAGCAAGCTGTTGAGAGAAATCACGATGGAGGGATGTGAAGAGTTTGGTCTACACTTCAATTATCAATGGGGAACTTTCTCTGAAAAGAGATTTCACTCTGCTGAGAGCCCCTCTGATGATGATGGAACTCTGCGACAGCTCAATTTAACCAGGGAGGCAATACTCCCTGATGTATATTTTGTAAGCCTCTGTGTGGGTGTTAACTCCAAGCTTGTGTGCGTCTGGGTGTTGGTTTGCCTTTTTATTTTTTGTCGTGCACTGATACGTGAGGAAATGTAGGATAAAAGCACAGCTGTAAAAGTGTAATGCTGTTTTCATTTGCAGCATTTTAGCTGCTGACACAAACAACTCACAAATAAGTGCCTGTTTGTACATTTCAGGAAGGTTTTTATTTTTTATTTTTTTTAGGATATCCCCACATTAACACGTGCCCATTCATCTCTGTCTCAGTTTTATGTTGGCATTGCAGGTGCTCAAACCGTGCATCAAAACAGTTTTGTAACAGCAATATAAACTGGACAAAAGTCAGTGATCTACAAATAAATCACCTTTGAGTTATGTTCAGAGTAAAAMAAGAAACCGTATTTCCTCCGAGGAAATGCTAGCTGCCATCGGTTTGTTTCATGTCACCTTGATATTGATTGGAAAGATGTCTGGTGAAATTGTTGGTCAGTTTGAGAGGAACTCTGGAGCCTCAGAGGACTCCTGGCTGCTGAGAAAAAAGTTCTCTGAAGCTTTCCTTCAGCTCTGTGGCATTTCAGAGGTTCAAACAAATAAATTAGAGCTGAACTTCCTGTAAGTATCTGAACTACATATGATAGATCATGAGGGAATGGATTGATTTTTGCTATCATCACAGAATCATTTGATTAAATGTGCAAATGTGCCAAAACTCAATCATCTCAGTTCAATGTTTCAATGTTTAGATGTGTGATTACCAAACACTCCTGCCAGTGACTGCACCAGCATTAATCATTTATGTGATATATTGATATATTATACTTGATGTTATTTGATTTATATTCATCAATACTCACAGCACTTTTAATAACAAAACCTTATTTAGCATTATTTAATCAGCAATGGATGGTTAGTTCAACTTAAATCATCCTTAAGGATGATTCTTACTTAATAAGATATAAATTAACACATTTAGTAATGCTTTAGCCAAAAATGCTAATTACTGTGCAGGACCAAAACTGTCATAATTAGAAATAAAAGCAGAAATATATAAATGGACCATTAAATAAATAAATACAACTTAATCTAACCAATTAAACAAAAAAAAGAGAACTTTACCTCATGTTTTATAATTTAATTGACCTTCATATTTATTTTTCCAGCTTAGTCCCCATAAATTATATATTTTAGAACATAATTTACATTTTATTGTTTTTAAAAATATATTTTTTATCTGGTTGAGTCTGTAGAATAGTCACTGGTTACTCAAGTTTATGAAGGT